GCACCCTGCGCTCCGCCTCGCCCACTTCTCTCTGGGGGGGGGTGAGCCGGGGCGCCGCGGGGGTCCGCGGACCGGGCGCGCGCGGCGAGGGCGCGCGGCGGGCGTCCGGCCTGTGGCCGCCGCAGCGGAGGCCAAAAAAAAAAATGTCCACTTTACCTTGTTTTTTGCAAGGGATTCTTGAAATTTGATTATATTAGAACAAGAAATGTCATTTTATAGTGTTTTTTGCAAGGGAAAACGGATTACAACAAAACAACCGGATCTGGATCACATCGTTTTACCTGAGGCTTCCTCACGAAAATGATGAAAATGTAGCTGCGGCCTAGGCGGCGCAGGGGGGGCGCGCACCAGGGGGCCCAACAATAATTATTCTTTACAATAAATAATGTTCAACAACAACAACAACAACAACAACAACAACAACAACAACAACAACAACAACAACAATCATTTTACCCGAACGCGTGGTGTTCTCCCCAGTGCCAGGGTTTTCATACGACACCGGGCAATACCCCCACTTCGTGGGGGGGCATTACAAGCTCTACCAAATATCCAAACGACTCTTCGCGACCACCCAAACCCAGCTTCCCGCCCTATGACGTTGGGACACTTCACTTCGTGGCGTGCGGACGACCGTGGCTACTACACTGGCGTGGGGTACACACCCACAGAACTTGGTCACTTATTCGGGGCGCGCATGTGCCCAGCATGGTGCAATTGTGCCATACAATACATAATACAGAGAGACAGAGAGAGAGACAGAGAGCAGACAGAGAGAGAGACAGAGAGAGCGGAGTTGGTCACATTTTTGGGTCAAGTTCCTGGGATGATGGGAATACACAACTCTGTTACATTTGATAGTGTGCACGACACACATGAGATGATACGTACTCGCAAGATAGTTGGTCACATTTGTGGAATTCCTGGGCGGATGTGGGGATACACAAATACCTTTGTTACCAGTGCTAGACATGGTACAGACACTGAGAGAGAGAAGGCGAGACAGAGGAAGAGAGCGGGAGAGAGAGAGACAAAGAGAGAGAGACAGAGAGAGAGGAGTTCGTCACATTTTTTAATCAAATTCCTGTGCTCGCAAAAGCCCGTTTGACAGAAATGTTTAAAAAGTGTTGGTTTTCCTACGAATCCGCAAGAGCGCGCGGGATGAGATTTTGACATTTGTTTGTTGAAAAACCATTGGTTTTTTGATGTTTTTATGTTAAAATCGTTCCGAACACTAAGCTTTTGGAAGGATTTCGTCTTGCGCGCGCGAATGTCCACTTTACCTTATTTTTTGCAAGGGATTCTTGAAATTTGATTATATTAGAACAAGAAATGTCATTTTATAGTGTTTTTTGCAAGGGAAAACGGATTACAACAAAACAACCGGATCTGGACCCCATCCACTTTTCTGAAGCTTTCGCGAAAAAATGATGAAAATGTAGCTGCGGCCTCGGCGCGGCGGGGGGGCCGTGCACCAGGGGTCCCAACAATAATTATTCTTTAGAACTAATAATGTTCAACAACAACAACAACAACAACAACAACAACAACAACAACAACAACAACAACAACAACAACAACAACAACAACAACAACAGCATCAACAGCATCAACAGCAACAACGACGACAACAACAAGAATAACAACAACATCAACAACAGCAGCAACAACAACAACTGCAACAACAACATCACCAACATCAACAACGACAACCACAACGACGACAACAAACAAAAACGTTGCCGAGCATGGCCCTCACACAACGGCCAAGGGCGCTAACTTACGGAGCGGCCACGTCACGCTGCCGGGCTTCGCGACGCGGCGCGATAGACCGCGGACCAGCGCGCGCAACGGACCGATCCCACGAAGCCGACAGAGGGCAGATTCGGACGACTGCCCGCGCTTATCGCAACTGAAACGTCGCCCCATACCAGCACGCGCGCGCGCCGAACACGTTACAGCGCCCGCACTACTGAGGCCGAGTTGTTTGACACAACAAGAAGAAGCGAAGAAGAGAAGGCACGCCCGCTTGTGCAATCCGCTCACTACGAAGCACGCGTGGACAAAGCCAGCGTAGACCCGCCCGCCGCGCACGCACCAACCTCCCATGCGAAGCCCGACAAGCAGGACGTGAGCATCGAAACAGAGAGAGTGCGCCAAGCAAGAAAATGTTGGATCTGATGCGTAACCCAGGGGGGGCTATCGCCCATGCCGTCCGTTCGCACTTCCTGGAAACTGGAAGCGAGCAAGTACAAGCAACAAACACCCAATTGAACAGGTGGATCGGGAAGGCAGGACCAGGAGGAAGGTGGAGCAGACGCGAAGATTGACCACTGCACGGGACCGGGAAGTACTTGGATGACCGTGCTTCCAGTGTTAAAGGCAACAATGTTCTCACCAGCGTTTGCGAACAACCAGCGGCTCCTTCGGCCAATTGACCTCCACACACAAGGTCCAGTGGGAAGCGTAAGCACCACGCAAGCTTGCTGGAAGGCTGGGATGCCACTCAGTTGGACGCAAGAAACGCCGGCAGCAGCCACCTCTCCCGATTTCCAGCCAAACATGGCCAGCGAATATGCCAGAGGCTCGGCGGGCGGGCTATATGGGGGGAGAAACCGTTGCGGACGACCTCAGCAATGCCCACTTACACCTGTCGCCCGTTTGAACTTCTGGAGCGCGCATGAAAAGAAAGGCGGCGACACGACATGACATGCAGAATATTGAATGCTAGAGGCTGGTAACGAGCATGGGCACGCACGTCCCACTGCAGCTACCAGTCAAACGAGTATCCGCTCGCCCTCGCACTCCCAGCCGCATGCGAACACAACATGCAGCACTACGCATGGCAAAAGCCATCCTGAGATGGAATCGAAACGGCACGCACGGTTCAATGCACAAGATTCCGACTGCGTGGGCGCATTGCTTGGCATTGCTTGGCGCACTGCTTGGCATTGCCTGCCCGTGCTTGGCATTGCTTGACACTGCGTGTCGTTACGCGGCATTGCGTGGCATTCCGTGACAATGTTTGGAATTGCCTGGCAATGCGCGGCAGTGTTTCCTGGTATTGCGTAGCATTGCGTAGCGAGGCAGCAAGCAATCAACACCAAGGAATGAAGGAACCAACACTCAGAGACAGAGAAACCACGAAACCAAGACCCATGAACCACGGAACCAGGACCAAGGGACCAAGGGACCAGGACCGAGGAACCCGAGGAAGACAGCAAGGAACCAAGGCCGAGGAACCCCAACGAACGCTTGGCGACCCCCGGGAAGCCCACTGCTAGGAAACAGTACTAGACAAGCGCGTTCCACTACTCGCAAAGTGACTACTCGCAATTGGCCTGCATCCGCCATGGGAGATTCACAATATATTACACCGATGCAGACGTGTGATTTTCGGACGCTTGCGAGTAGGCCCCTTGCGAGCTGTGGAACGCACTCATTGGAAAGAACCAGTACCAAGGGAACTACAGGGATGGCTGGCCGGCAAGGCCCCCCACCCAGAGCCAATCGAGAATATCGCCACGACAAACCTGACCCTCACGCTCGGGCAGGTGTGCAACACTGAACGCATCGCATTCCCTCCGCAAACAAGTCCGACTCCTTTCTGGCAAGCCCTGACCAGGCAAAATAACAACGAAAGGCGCCCAGGAAGGCACGAATAAACAGGTGCACCATGTCCAAGACTCCGGCCTTCGTTTCCATGCCAATGTGTGCCGATGGGCCGTCTAGGCGCGGTTTCTTCTCGGGGAGACGTAAGACCCGGGTACGGGGGACTCGGAAATCCCCGACGAGGTCGTCAAAAAAATGACGAGGCCGAGCCTGCATTTTGACGAGGCCTCCCGCTGCAGACATCCCACGAAACTCCTCCTCGTCAAAATCCGAGTCGCGGTCGTCAAAAAACGATGGCGAACCCGAGTCCCGGCAAACCCGGGTCTTACGCTCCCCCGATCTTCCTGTCCTGTCCTGTCCTGTCCTCCGTCTCCCTCGGCGATGGACAAACCTCCCTTGAGTCAACCTCCCCTTAGTGAATACGGCCTAGGACCGAGACCGACGGACCTGGATCCGCAAAAATGACGGCCGCGACGCCCTCTCGCGAACCGATATCGGCCAATTCCTTAATCGACGTGTCAGGGTAGGAGGTCTATCAACCTCCGACTCCCATATTTTCCAAATTTTTCGCCTCGCCTGAGAGATAGCCGCCTCGTTGGGCCCTCGGGGGGGCCGCTGGCGCCCCCGCCCGGCGGGGGACGGCGCAGGAGGCTGGGCGGGGGAGAATGGTGCCCCCGCAGGCTGGACTCCACGGAAGCTTTTGAGCAGGGACCGACCGTCCCGACATTCCTATAGGGCTACCACGACATGTTCTTAGAACCCCAAGATGTTCTAAGAACAAAAACAAGGTTCTTAGAACATAAACCCGATGTGCTACAACAAAACAGTCCCAGCCAGAAGTGTTCTAAGAAGATTTCGTGGAAACCACAAGAGGTTCTTAGAACATTGCTTGGTAGGTCTATAGGAACGCCAGGACGCTTCGCCACTGATTGAAGCTTGGAGACTCGCAACGACCGGCAGGGTGCGGGCAGGGACAGGCGACTCCTGCGAGGCGGAGGAGCAGAGGCAAGGACGAGCACAACAACGAAAACCCTGCGGCAAGAATGGCCAGCTTGAAGGTTGGAATCCCGCGGCGCCCCAGTGCATTCGGCAAGTTGGACTGGCAGGAGAAGAGAGGGGACGACGCAAACTGTAAACAAACACCACGTCTGGTCAAGATGGGTGCTGGATAACACTCACAGACATCCGACGTCTTGGGTTCTCAATACGGAATCTGGTCTGAACATCTTCCCCAGGGCCAGCTCTTCATGCCGAACCGTTTTTGAATTCCCGAGGCCTGGCGAGGGCATCCCGAGGCCAAAAGCGGCGAAGCATTTCCGCATTGCGCTTCTCGAGACGTCGGAGGTCGGGGTTGGAGGACCCCCGAAGAAGCTGAATGCGCGCCACATTTTCCCGCGCGATGGTCACACGCCGACAATAGCGTCAGAGGTCAGGGCGGTGGACGCGCGCAGGAGCTTCACGTCCACCACGGGCTTGTCCTGTGGCGGGTCAGGTCTGAGGCACGCTCGCCTGCCAGAGCGATCCCGGAGAAAGGTTAGGAGACAACTCCTGGGAGGCCTTCGTGGCCTTCGTGCGAGCGATTCTTGGCTATCAAGCCAAGAAGTAATGAGCCGTGAAGCCAGATTGGCCTCGATTATAGACCCAGGATTCTGCCCAATTGAGCCAAATCAAGCAAGATTATGCAGGAATTCGCGGGACTATGACGGCTCAGGCTGGCCTTCGGCCACGGATACACCAGCGACGGTGCTGTTGAATTGTAACCTCCCATGAGCTGCATCATGAGGAAGGGGAAGCGGGAGCGGACGCCAAAACAACCACTCACTCAGCTGGGCAAGCGTGAGAACACAGCGCCCACCCTCAAGAACGGCGCGTCGTGCCCGCTTCGGCAATCGCCCCCCTCTTGTACATTTTCTGGCCGCGCTTCATCCGCCCGCTCCCCCTGTCTTGAGGAAGACAGATCCTGTTGAGGGCGATACTGCCTGAACAGAATGTGGTCTTCGGCCCTGGTTTTCAATCCGCAGCTCCGCGCATCTCCTCCCACCACGTCTCCCCCTCCATTCCCATCCCTGCATATGCTCGCTCACCCGTCACACGTTCCGTAGTATCAAATCGGCGGTGAGCGAGGGGGGAAATGAGAAGGAAAAGGTCTTTTCAGAAGGCGGCGGGACTTCTCAGAAGCCCTCGCGCCTTCTGAGAGGTGATAGGTCTTTGTTCTGTCTTCGGGTACGGCTTAGAAAACTTATCAGAAGGCCGGGGGACTTCCGAACCTTCTGAAAAAGGCATTTTCCTTCTCACTTCCCCATCGCTCGCCGCAGATCTAAGGGAGCCCCACCTACGGTGGTCTGACCGGGCACGACCGCAGGACGCCCCCAGAACCCCTCTCGCCACACCACTCACCCGATGCGTGCCTTTCTCGGCAGCTCCACATGCGGTACGAGGGGCGAGACCGCATTGCGGCCCCGAACCTGTTGCGGCATACTGTCTTCTTTTCGAGAGGACCGATTTGCAAAGCGACACAGCAATCGGCCAGCATCGTTCTTTCACGGGAGCGGGGCTAGCGGCGCGCAGCCTCCTGGCTGAACGGTGGTCTCGAGTGCTGGACCGCGCAACGGCCGAGCCTGCTGTGCTTTTCCCCAGGCTCCAAGGCAAAAGGGTCTAGATTTGCTCGGCAAAGGCAAGACATGTCGGCACACCCCACACCGTTTCGCGCCGCTTCAGAAGCTCCAACGTACTGTCTCCGTGTGCGCGACCGCGCGGTGTCCCCGAGAGACCTTTCACACGTTTCGTGCCCCCCACCCCCGACCCAGGAAGCTTCGGCGCGACAGCGTGGCATGCCCGAGTCTATTTCGGCACACCCCTTTTATACACGTCTCGTGCCAACCATGGAGCACAGCATACGGTTTCATTGGACGCGGCCGCATGGCGTCCCCGAGTTCTTGCTGGCACACCTATCACACGTTGCGTGGCCCCATTGAGCAACCTGAAATACGTCCTGAACACGACCACGACCGCGTGGTGTCCCCGAGCACTCGTGGGCGCGACCGCATGGCGCCACCCCGTCAGTTTCGACACGCTCCTCACACGCTTCGTGACCCCATAGACGGGGGCCTCACCGAGGGCCCAATGGCAGGGTCCGCATGGCGCCACCCCGCCCATTTCGACACATCCCTCACACGCCCGTGGGCCCAAAGGGAGCCCCACCGAGGGCCCCAGTGGCACGCCCCGCATGGCGCCACTCCGCCCATGTCGGCACACCCTTCACACGCTTTGTGGCCCCAAGAGGGGGCCCAACCGAAGCCACCAAAGGCCTTCGGACCTGAACAACTGAATGCACAAGACGCCTAAAGCGAACCACCGCCTCCCCCTTCCTTTCGGGAACGCCTGTGTGGCCAAACGTCGAAACAAAGTCGTATCAAGCTCTTGGGCGATGTTTTCACCGAGCCGCCGTGGAAACCATGGAGGGGCACTTGGGGGGGAAAAAAAGGAAGGGAAGGAGGAGGACCACGAGGAGGAAGAGGAGGCCTCTCAAGGGCCTCCTGGGGCAACACGAAGGTTTCCTGAGGGCCGCATGAAAGCATCCCGGGTTTTTTGTTCCAAAGCCTCATGAGGGCCTCTTGGGGCGCGAGGTCCGACCGAGCAGTTCGGGGAGCGGCTCGCCCCATAAAATGGGGCAGGCATACAAACGACTACGTCGCACGCACGCACGTTCAAACACTACGCGTGGCTGTTGGTCATAAACTGCACATACTCATCCTCGGGGGCATCCCATGGGAAACGAATGCCTTGTCGCATTGCTTCCTGCAACAACATTATCTTCGACGCGAAAAACTCGCGCTCAAGGTCAGTCCATCTCATCCTGGGCGTGCCCCGGCGCCCGGGGCCGCCAGGCGCCCATCTCACGACAGCTGCAGGCCTCGAGCCCGGGACGCACAAACGCGACATCAACCGCCATCGAGCTCCATCTACTGCTTCGGCCGATTCAGAAACAGCGAATAGATTCACTGCCTGCTCCAACCTGCGTTCGCAGCGCCTGCCCGAATCCCCAACTCTCACGCCCCGGCTTTGCGACCCCCGCGATTTTCCGAAGCATCTTGTTCCGAGCGGCTGTCAACCACGAGCGATGTCTGCCGGTCACCCCCAGAAAAGCCATGCCGCACAGTGCTGTGGGAGCGATCGCAGTCGAACAATGTCAATCGAAGGAAGCGACCCCGGGCGAGCTCCAAGATGTAGTCAAAAAGGAAATCCGCACGGCTAGTCAAATTATCGCTGAACTTCCCGCCGAAGTATCTGCGAACGTTACGGCACGTCATGACAGGTAACAACATATCGCCACACGACACCACCATCAGGACATCGGCGTGGGATACGCTCGGGTCTCTCGTGACAGTCCTCGTCTCGGTCGCACTCAGGCTGAAACATCGATTCCTCGGCTCCGCGGACAGCGCGGCGAGCACCTGCATTGCTCCGACGACCCTGCACTCAACAAAATGTTGACCGCGCACCTGATGTTGCCCAGGAACTCGCCGGGCCCAACCCGCAAGCCGCAGCTGGGGCATCTCAGTTCGAAGGCACGCACCGCCCGCTCATGCCCGGCGTTAAACTGCAAAGACGACATCGCATCATCTTGTTCGACGCCGCGAATGATGTCGAACATCTCGCCGTCGCCGTCCTGCACCCGGCCTCTCTGGCCCACGCGCACGTCTGCAAGCAAACGCAAGCATTCGCGAAGAATGCCCTTTTCACGCAGAGCCGCAAACAGCATCGGATGTTCGATCCGGTCGAAATTTCTGGTAAAATCCGAACTGACGATCCACGAAAATTCCCCACGTTCCCATATTTTCGCGCAGATATCATCGGAAAGCACAAACCCCAGTGCCGCAGAAATCCCGCCCCCACCGCCCGCGGCTGGACGCGCATCCAACACCAAACACGCATTCCAAAGATGCCTTGAAAACCCCGCTCGCTGCAGGACCGCTGTTGGTTTGCATCGTCGGGAATACGCGCGCATCCGGCAAGTTTTTCTGGCCTGCGAATACCTGCGCATGTTCTTCCGCACGCACGTCACAATATTGCTGCAGCAATTTACGATACGATCGGCCAATATGCTTGGAAAGTCGCGTTTTCTCCCATGCGTCACTGGTCTGGTCTCGCTTGCGGCACGACTCTCGCAGCACCTATTCCTCCCATGGTTTCCGTTGCTGTTGTTCCTGAGGGCGACTGCACTCATCAGCCGCTCGTGTCAAGATGCAACCAGGGCCGCTCGAATTCGATTTGCCCGCGCGCCCAAAATGCTTTCGGACGTAGGCCTCATAAACAGAATCTGCGCCATATTGACCGCATTTGGCTTTCACGTGGGTTTCCGGCGCCGCTGACGTTGCCGCCTTCACCCCGGGGAAACAGAGAAAACAGTTTTCACTGCGCGGCGATCTGATCCCACGTCGAACTCGTCGAGCGGACGGCAGGAAGAACATGTAAAGCACGAGTCGTACAACATGTAATCCAGACGGCGCTCCGAATCCAAAGAGCTATAGAAAGCCCACTCTTCAGAAACACTGCCGTTGAATGGGTTGCGAACGTTCCCTGGAATCAACCCGCGTCCGCCAAAATTCCAGGAGCAGCGCCCCCCTTCTTCCCTATGCCGCACTGCGCGTTGAAATCTCCACGAGTTTGTCACCTCGGTCTGCACAGCACCGCGCGCGCCCGAAAGATCATCAAACGACTATCCAGCATGAGGCAAATACACAACCACGATGGTGCACAGAGTTCCGCGCATCTTCATATCGACGGCCAGGACGCTCCCGAAATCAGACCGATGTTTCTGCACGCCCCTTGCGCGACGCGCATGAACACAAAAAGCTACACCAGCGCGCTTCTTGCCCCCCGACGCGGCGATCAACCAGCGGCCGCCGCCCAGGTCAATCTCAGCATCGGCAGCGCGGGTCTCGCCCAGGCAGAGAGTTCCAGCTGACGTCAACGAGCTCCCCCAACATTTGCCCCAGCCTTTCGTTGATGTGCATGCGCACGTTCTTGCAAAATACAACGATCTCTCTTTCTCTCTACATATATATACATATATATGTATAACGGTTCGAATGTGCAGTAGCATTGACTTCCTTGTCGTTCCGTTGCCTGCTCGGCGGGCGCTGCAACTGGCGTGCTTGCCCATACCCTTTCTGCGCCCTTGCCCTTGCCCTCCACATTGAGCATTCGTCAGCTTTCCCTGGGACTCGTCGAGCAGATCCTCCACCTCAGGGGTCTATAGGTACTCCTTCCACCCGTTCACCAATATCAATTTGATTTCTGCCTCCAGAGATATGAGAGGACAACACCTTATCTATAACAAGGGACAGAGTTCCACTGTCACGGTCCACGCACAGAGCGTTCTTGGCCCAGCCCCACTCCAGAATGATTTTTTTCACGGAGAACGCGAAGGACTCTGGCGATTGGTTTCCCAGAGGTAAATCAACATTTGCCCAAACGGTCTGCCCACCCCAACTGCGCCTCGCAAGACTTATTTTCTGGATGGCCGTGTCGCGCCCAGACGCCGAACGAAACTCTGCAAACAGAAGCCCAGTAAAGTTGCCCTTGGCGAAAATGCTGCTGGCCCCAGGACCCTGGCGAGACAAAAGGGCATCCCGCAGCCATTCGGCCGCCTCCTCCTCCTCCGACCACGCGGTGCCAAGACCGCCAGAAACCGCCCTGAAAGAGCCGAAGGGGAACTTACCGATATCGCCCTCGATGTCGATAACCTTCGCACGAAGCTCGGTTTCGATCGTTGCCCCATCCCCTGAAACGGAGCTTGCCCTGGAAGCCCTATCCGATATGGATGTAGTCAGTTCTGCGAGTCGAGCTTTCTGCGCAGAGAAAGCTCAACATCGAGGGTCCCGAACTTTGCGTCCACGTAGCCCAGGGATTTGTCGACCCTAGCCATATCAGCATGCACGTTCTTCCGGTCAAGCTTCATCTTAGCAACATCATTTGCCGTACCGCCGACTTTCTTCAAGACCGGTTCCAACTTATGGTCCATGGGGCCCTCGATAGCTGCTGCGTGACGTCTCCTGAAGTTGTGGACGCTGCCCCCTGCACTGCCGTCTGAAGTTCTCCGAAGTGCAGCGTGCGGGCGGTGCTGTCGTCCTTCCCCTTCTGCTCCCCTTTCTCCTTCCCATTATCCTCATGCTTCGTCTGGCCGTCCTGGCCATCCATCTCATGAAGCGAGCTGTGACTACGGTGTACCTTGACTGCTGAACCTTGGAGTGCATCAGCCGAAGAATTAATGATTTACTTCCCATTCAGAGTGCCCGGTCGACGCGTGCTCCGAGTAGGGGTTTTGGCCTGATCGCATGGCCCATCCATAGAATCCAAAGAATATGGGAGAATCTTCTCGAGCTCCTCCTCAAGAGTAATTGAAGACATGATTGCAGAAAAGCGCGAAAGAGTACAACTAACGCTGCGCACTGCCGCCGCAGCAGTGTCCAGAGCATCCTGAGTCTGACTCCTGACTCCTGGGTCTGACTCCTGAGCCTTGACCCATAGCCGAAATAGCGAGAACGCTCAAAGAAAGCATTGACAAAGTATGGGACTCAAAGAATCTCAGCCTCATGGGGGGCCTTCTGGACGTCCTCTTGGAGCAACTTGGAGCCTTTCAGGGGCCCCATTGGGCCATCTTGATGCCATCTTGGACCGTCTTGGATCCATCTTGGGCCGTCTCGGAGACATCTTGGGCTCATCCATCCTAGGGTAATCTTGGACATCTTGGAGGCGTCTTGGGACCGTCTTGGAGACCAACTGGGGCCATCTCGGCCGTCTTGGCCTTGGGAGCCCTCTCGCCCTGATCTCTCCGGCCAGCTGGTAGGATGAGCAAAGAAAGGCCACTGGGAACCCGTTAGAAGGAGTCAGACCAGCAAAACACTCTGCACGCCGAGCGACCTTGTGATAAATATGGGGGCGTCAGATCGAAGACGCCTACGGAGAATCACCGCCGCCCGCCCTCTGCCTCTTGGAGGCGACTGTGTGGCCGGACGTTGCGGCCAGAGCTCGGCCAAGCTGTCGGATCACGTGAAACCCTTCGCGGAGCACGAGGGGGAGAAAGAGGAGGAGAAATCTCTGCGGGCTGTCCTTAAGGCTCTCTCCGAGGCCTCTTGGGGACCTCTCGGGCCGTCTCGGGCCAGTTTGGGTGCCTCTTGAGCCGTCTTTGAAACATGTTGTGGCCATCTTGAACTCTCGTGGGCTCTCTTGGGGCCATGCGTCTTGGAGGCATCCTGGAGACCAGCTTCAGCCATCTTGGCCGCCTTGAAGCTGGAAGCCCGATGACCTGGAAGTTTACGGGTCCTTCTGGGGCGCATTTGAGGCCATCTTGGGGCAATCTGGAGCGGGAAGACCGATGATCTGGGAAATTCATGGGTCCTTCCGGGTGGCGGGTGGGATCGGCTGGAGGCCCACTGGGCCCCTTGCAAAGCAGCACAGACTACCCAAAGCTTGGCACACGGTGCTCCCCTGTGGCAAGCCACAGGAGGCGGCGGATCTAGCGGCCTTCGGCCATCCCGCCACCGTGCCTGGCTTGTGGGCCGAGGTCTCTTCGGGAATCCTCTCTGGGGGGGCCTCTTGGGCGAGCGAGCGAGCGCGCGATGAGGGTCCAGCGGGACCGGCCCTAGGAGGGCGGCGCGGGGGGGCCGGAGCCCTCAGCAGTCGGCCTGG